TTTAGTATAGCTATCACCCAAATAGGAGAAAGGGCTATTGATGAAGACATTTTTCAAAATCTAAGAGAGTCTGCTATTAAGAAGAAGTCCTGTGTCTGGAACTGACAGTTGAGGCTGAAGCAAAAGAGGATTAGAGGAAGAAGCCCATAGCACAGAATACTGAAACCAGTCATGGTCTCACCTCCACATCTAGGAGACTGGAGTGGCAGAACTGGTGTGGTGTATTAGGAAAGAGGGTAGAGAGGTTCAAAGGGAGGAAATGTCCAAGAGTGTATAAAGCACTGCAGATAGGAGTTATGGGCACCGCATAATGCCATTGGGACATCATTTAATAATGTGTCAATTGATTTTAACTTAAAATGATCTGTACACATTAAGAAAGACTTATTCAACCAGTGCCTTGAATAGCTTTTCTGCTTGTCATGTCGTTCTGTTTTCTTTCCATCACCTTACAAATGCCCCGTTTTTAGCGTATTTTTGTGATTGCTTTTCATTTGTATGGGTTTAGCTTTTGTAGGCAGAGGGAAATAACTGAGCTCTAGAAAGGCTAAAAAAAAATTCTTTGAGCAATACTGCATACTTCTCTCTGGTAATTATTTAGGGACAACAGTAGCTGAAAATCACCTCTTCGGTTCTTGATGGAAAAGTAATTCTGTTTGTTTATTAGTGAAGGACATTAAAGAAATGTGTTTGCCATTTCACTGATCTCATTGCTACTTGCTGGTAAAGAACAAAAATTAAAACCTAGTTGTTTTGAGTGCAAAAAGCTATTTGTTTTGATGAAAATGTTTGAATTTACTTCTACACCATTGGACTTCTCCCAGACCCTGACTTCTAGGTACTGTCTCTCTGACATTCTGTTTCTCTTTTTCTGGACTGTCAGATGCTAAAACTGTCTAGAGCCTCCGAGGTGTATGGTCACTGTTATATAGCACCATGCCAACCAACAGTGGCTTCTCCTTTGCTTATAATAAAAACATATTAGAACTACATTTATTTATTTTTTTAAATCTCTTTCATGTGATGGACTTTGAGTTTTTAGTGGTCTAAGAAATACCATTGCCTCCTCCCTCTCACACTTTGGTTGCTAGAGGAATAGAAAATTGTTGCAAGCAGAAAATGGATAGTATAGTACTCAGTACGACATTGCAGTTTAATTACCTCCAGTGATGGGTGACCGTTCTGCCTTATTCACTTTGTTGAGCTTCAGGAGGGCAAACGTGCTGTGATTGAGGTGGTTTTCAACTCTCTGTCTCTTGTCCTATATCCCAGGGCTTCCAGCAAAAGTTCTCCTTCCACAGTAAAGAGATTGTGGCTATCAGCTGTTCCTGGTGCAAGCAGGCGGTAAGTTTGGGATGAAATAAAACAATGCGGCTCACGTTTATCAAAATACACTTATGTCTTGATATGGATTCCTGTCTGTAAGTGGAAAGTTATTCCCATTTAATGTATTACTTTTCTCATAGAGGATCCTTGGAGGACGACAGACAAAAATCATAGAACAAGAGCATCTATGCTGGGAGAAACCAGAGCTAAATTAACCCCTTATGTTTTATATGCATTGAAGCTAGACATCAAAGCCTAGAAAATTCTCCCCTGGTTCTAGTGCTGAGACTGAAATCGAGGGCCTTTCACTCCTAGAGTACATTTTTTCCCCTCCACTGGATTGTTGAGAACTCCTCCCATGGTGGGTGAATGCAACATTAGCGACAGAGCAGTGTCCTACAGGAGTGAGTCCTCTAACACAAGGAGGCAAGCATCATGGTCCCTCAGGTGGCTCTTGCCTGTAATTCCAACACTTTGGGAGGCAGAGGCAGAAGGATTGCTTGAGCCCAGGAGTTTGAGACCAACCTGGAAGACATAGACCTCGTCCTTATTAAAAAAAAAAAAAAAAAAAAAAAAAAAGCTGGGCTTGGTGGCATATGCCTATTATTCCGGCTACTTGGGAGGCTGAGATGGGAGGATTTTTTGAGCACACTGCACTTCAGCCTGAATAACACAGTGAGACCTTGTCTCAATTGAAGAAGAAGAAGAAGAAGAAGAAGAAGAGGAAGAGGAAGAGGAAGAAGAAGGAAGAAGAAGAAAAAAGAAGAGAAGAGAAAAGAAAAGAGAAGAAAAGAAGAAGAAGAAGAAGACTGGTTCTTGTATTCTTTTGTAGGTTTGGATGTTCTTTTGGTTGTCTGTGTGCTCACTGAAATGCAGCTCTTTCTCACATTTGAACATATATATTCATTAGGAACTGATGATAATTTCTCTTCTCTCTCTCTCTCTCTCTCTCTCTCTCGGAATCTAATTCCTCTGTCCCTACCAAGTGTTACATTTTCTTATTTGATTGCCTGTGTACCTATTCTTTCTTTTACCAGATAATGTATAGTCTAACTCAGGGTTGGTAGACGACTATGGCCCATCAGCCAAGTTTGGCTGCTGCCTATTTTGTAAATACAGTTTTATAGGAACACAGCCATACCCAGTTATTTATGTGTTGTCTGTGGCTGTTTGTGCCGTTTCTGAATTGTCTACAGGTACTTTCATGCTACAGTGGCAGAGTTGAGTAATTGCAACAGAGATGGGTATACTCATAAGCCTGAACTATTTACTCTCTGGGACTTCATAGGAAAACTTTGCTGATCCCTGCTGTAATCTCTCAATCCACTATTCTTGCAGATGGTTATATGAGTAGGAATGTATTGTCCCATCTTTGCAAAGGAGATCTGGAAAGAAAAGACTGTGGTGTTTCAGTTAGGTTAAGGATTTACAGGAAATGTCATCCCTCTACACACATTGGATAGAGTGAGCCACACAGACCATGAAGCTGGAGCAGATGCATTTCATTGAAACATATGAAATGGATATTTTTTGGTGGGTCAAAACCATTTGAATTTTAGCAATCCTGTATACTACAACCTGATAATCTCTCTGGTGAACTGTTCTAGGCCCCTACATAGCAGGAGAACCTGCTGTTACTGGGTAGGGACTCAGTGGTCTGGAAAGCCCAGTGTTGTCATACCACCATCCTGCTGCTCTTTTTGTTCTTGGCAGTTTCATCTCCTTTCAGTTAGTTCCTCAAATAACTGTTGCACATCTGTTCAAGAACATGTTCACTAACTATAAGGCCGTCCTAGTTCTAGAATGAAATTCTATGCTATCAAGGCAATATCTCCCATTTGGGGAGGAAGAAGTAGATTCAGTGTCCAGGTGTCCTAATGTTCTCCAAGCAGCTGGTTATCCTGATCTGATGAGATCCCACTGGTGGCGCAGTCTTGTGGGCAGAGATGTACTCAAACAAGCTTCATCTACTTCTGCCAGTGTCACTACCAGGCTGTAGTGAGATGACTTATCCAGGGTCAGTTAATTTGGAAATTCAATCCTTCTTCCAATGAACATACAGGTGCATCCTCTTACATTAATCTATGACCCAGTCGAAACACTACAAAAGCCAATTTTCACTCGACATTTGCCATTGAGGTGTGAACAAGTCCACTTATCTTTGAGTGTCTCAATTTCCTACCCTGTAGAAGGAAGTTTTGCAGGGATTATAGATATAAAACATTTGAACACAAATTATGGTAGTGGCATATTTTAACAGTCCAAGTCAATTCCTTATAAGATATTTGATGTCAAACAAACAAATAAATAAGTGACCCTCTGTGGTATGGGAGAAAGAACCCTGGGTTTGGTATCTGGATTTCTGGGGTCAGGTTCTGATTCCACCATTTAAAAGCTATGATCTTAGACATACCTCTGGGTCTCCAGAGTGGAGATTACTCATGTGTAGATTGAGAGACTTGATGTACTCGATCTCTGAGATTTCCTACCATTTTAGAAATGTAATAGTTAAACTTTGGGGGATTTATTTAAATTGCTGAGAAAAAAATCAATTTTTATAGAAGATACTCAAAATTCCTCTGGTATATTTAAATGCAGATCATAAATAACTGATGACAGGGAGAATTATTAATTATTTTATCAGTATTTTATACACAATTGCTTGATTAATAATTACTCACAGCAGATTTTGAAATTATACAGAAATGAAACAAATCTCTCTAATGCTATGTAATCCAATTAGGACGACCATATTTGCCAGTTTTACTGAAACAGTTCTAATTTATGTTTGTTGTTTCAACATAATTATTATCAGTGATCCTTTTCACTTTTAAAATGGTTCCAGTTAAAATGATAAATTATGTGGTTACATTAAGTATAATACAAGTAGAAACTGAGGTTAAATGTTTAAAAATCACTGTGATTAAAATTTAAGGCCCGTGATGATTGCATAATGTTGATTTTAGGCTTATTAGAAAATAAATGTTATTGCACATCACTATTATTTTGTAGTCACACAAAAGATGACTGAAAATGTACATTGGTTGCTCAAGGCCAAAGTTCACCAGTCTGAGTGTCACAGTTGGGGTACAGAAGCCTCTAATACTGTGGTATTGTTATGATCATTAAGTCTACATTTACTACGTTCCTTTCAAAAGCAAAAATCACTTTAGACTTGCCATATAACAGGGCCATTGCATTTTTTTTTTTTTTTTTTTTTTTAGTTGGAGTCTCGCTTTGTCACCCAGGCTGGAGTGCAGTAACACACTCATGGCCACCCCACCATTGACCTGCTGGGCTCCAGTGATTCTCCCGCCTCAGCTTTCCAAGTAGCCAGAACTACAGGCACGCACTACCATGTCCAGCTAATTTTTTTGATTTATTGTAGAGATAAGGTCTAGCCAAGTTGCCTGGGCTGGTCTTGAACCCACGGGCTCAGGCAATCTACTTGCCTTGACCTCCCAAAGTGCTGGGATTACAGGTGACCATTGCATTTTATAAGGGGCCTTAGAAAAACCCACCACAAGCAATCTCTTACTGACTTCTTTAAACTGGAAAGTCGACCTGGGAGAATTTATTTTTATGATAGAAAAAGGACTGTAGGCATTGCTTTCCTATTTGTCTTCATTGCTAACTGTGCAAAGTTAGGATTAATAGAACCCTCCAAGACTCTAAGACCTTAATGTAAGTATTCCGTGAAACAACTAAAACTTTTAGCAGGCTTCATCCTTTTAGATCTATTTCTTATCAATTGTTATAAGTTAATGAACTGAAATAAATTTGAAATCAGGTCTCTGAGCTCTTGGGGCAGGTTGGGTGGTGACAAACAAAGCGTCCGTCCTTAGTGTGTGCCTGGTGTATGTGTGTGTTGCGTGGGTGTGTGCGTGCATACTTACTCCATCTTGCTGCAGTGTTACTCTTTGCCTAGAATTGTTCACTGGCCTGTTTTTCTCTTCAGTTTCACAATAAGGTGACCTGCTTCATGCTGCATCACATTGAGGAACCCTGCTCCCTGGGGGCTCATGCTGCTGTTATTGTCCCGCCCACCTGGATCATTAAGGTGAAGAAACCTCAGGTAACTGCCAGGACCCTGGTGCTGCTGGGCCAGTGCAGAGGAAAATGAACTGCTGCTTCCTGCTTTTCCCCCCATAGCTAGGCTTTGAGTTCCTCTGACCTCTTCACTCCTCCCCAGGCCCTACGCTTAGTGTCCACAGTTCATCCCACTGGCCTGTCACGTGACTGCGTTGGGCTCTCTCATGGCACCAGCCTCCTCATCGATGAAATCAAGATTCTAGAGCAGGAATATTGCCTCTTCCTTCATGTGCCCGGGATATTATCTTGGATAGGAGTTTTCCTAAGTTTTATTGAGCACGGGTGGTGGGTGCAGCTGATTCTTAGACAACTCTCTTCTCTTCCAGCCTGGAAGGGAATGGATGCCCTTTCATTCCAAGAAAGTCAATGTGAGGGCACACTATGGATTCCATGGTTTGGTTAGGATTACCACCACTTCCAAGTGGAAAGACCGACTGTGAGTCATGACCTTCCTGAATACACAAGGCCTGCTTAGAGAGCAATGCTGTCTTTCTTAAAGCAAAGTAGAATTTGTGCCCTTAATGCCTAATCTCGTTTTGTAATCCCCTCAGTGTGCTTCCTGTCCTAGTAAGTTTCTGCTTCAACTTTCAGGGAAAACTTGGTGTTTCTCAGGAGGGTCATAGTCTTTGGTAGAAAATGTCTCTGCCTTTGTGCGTTACATCCTTGACAGTGAGCTCCAAGTTCTGGGATGATAGACTTTTAATACTACAGGGAGAGAGATTGTACCACCCTTAGGGTATAGGTACTTTAGGAAGACTTATCAAATGTAATACCTCTAAAAGATATGGTGGTACTAGTTCATGTGGTCTCCAGAGTCATCATATAATTCTTTCTCATTGATTCAGTTTTATTTAAAAACTCATGGTTCAGGGATATCGTTTTGCTTTGTGTGTTTTATATAAAGTTTAGCCTCTGTTGATGAGCAACGTTTATGAATTACATTTTTAAGTTAAAATCTATGGAGATCCTTGGGAAAATTTTCCCTGAGACAGGTGTAGAATCTACACACTAAAAAGTGGGGAGCCTAGTCCTTCATTTTCTATTTTAGAACAAAATGCCAAGATGTGTTAAATGAGTTGTCCAAGGTGACAAAACAAATGAAATATAGCACTGCTGTCTAAAATCCATTGTACCGAATTCCAACTTTTATTTTTAGATCTCTTTAACACTTCTACTTTTAATTTTTTTCTTAAAATTCAGTAATCTCTCTTTAAGACTTTATAATAAACATTCAAGGCTGGGCACAGTGGCTTATACCTGTAATCCCAATACTTTGGGAGGCCAAGGTGGGAGAATCACTTGAGCCTAGGTGTTTGAGACCAGCCTAGGTAATGTAGTGAGACCACGCCTCTACAAAATATTTTTTTAAAATTAGCCAGACATGGTAGAACTCACCTGTATTCCCAGTTATTTGGAAGGCTGAGGTAGAAGGCTTGCCTGAGCCCAGAAATTTGAGGCTGCGGTGAGCCGTGATTATGCCACTGAGTCCAGCCCGGGTGACAGTGTGAGACTTCGACTCAAAACAATAACAACAGAAAACCATTCAGTTAAATCAACACCTTTGCATTGAAAACTTATATTGTATCAGGAAGGCTACGAGGTATTGTGATTTCTGTCCTGAAGAAGGTTGTAGTTATCTTAAGGAGAGAACTTAAAGGGGAGCTTCATGAACAAGGCAGGTTTTATTATGCTTTTAAAGATGGGTGTGATTTAGATCAGTGGAAGAGAGAATAGCAGACAGGAGAATGGCACCCAAGCAAGCATACTGTGTCCAAATTTATATTCATGGATCCATGAGACTAGTTTGACTGAATTGCAAGGTTCATGTAGAGGGTAAGTAGGAGATGAACATATGGTTGCTTGGGTCTGAATGTAGAGGGATTTTTGATGCATGTGAACTTTATCCTGAAAAGGTGGGTTTTCTTTTAAGCAAAGATGTGATAAAGAAAAAAAAAATATTTTAGAAGGAAACAGCTAGGAAGAGTGAGTAAGATGACCTAGTGGTGTGGGATTTTTGAAGTCTGGAGACAGACCAGTTAAGAAAATCAGAAGATAATACCAGTTTGCAAGGACATTAAGTTTATTTTTCTAAACCTTAAAACAACAACAAAAACAACACCCAAGACCCCAAACCAAAACACCCTAAACCAAAAAATCTTTTTATGATGGAAACTTTTGAGCAAATGAAAAAAGGGAAAAGATAATAATGAATTCTGTAGCCATCAACTTTTCTGCCATTCTTGTTTCACCTGTCTCCTGCCAGGTCATATTTATATTTTCTTTTTCTTTTTATTAAACTTTTTATTTGGCGATTCACTTGCAGCTATAAGAAATAATACAGAGGAATCTCTTGTACCCTTGACAAATCTTCCCCTTTTGGTAACATCTTGCAGTGTTACAGTGCAGTATCACAACCAGGAGATTGAGCCAAGATACAGAACATTCCATCCCCACTAGGATTCCTACTGTTACCCTTTATAGCCACACCCATTTCCTCCTGGCTGCACCCTGTTTATACCATCTTCCTGGAAGTGGAGGCTCCTTCCTTTTTTTCTTTTGCTGAAGTATTTTAAAGCAAATCTTAGCATATCACTTATCTGTAGATATTTAATTTTGCCTCTCTAAAAGATAATAACATTTAAAAAAACTGTACAACGTTATCTCACCCATGAAAATTATTAAATCCCTAATTTTTTTTCTGATTGTCTCAAGTGTATCTTCTCACTGTTAAGTTTTTCAAATTAAAATGCAAACTCCACAACTGCCTTTTGTTAATACACCTCTTAAGGCTCTTTTAATCTATAATGCCATGCTCCCTTATTTTTCATGTCCTTTATTTGTTGAATAAATTTTGCTTAGTTTACCTGTAGGACTTCCCATGTTTTTATTTTGGCTGATTGTATCCTTATTGTATTTGAAAATGGTGTCCCTTACGGCCCATATTTCTTATAAACTAATATTTAGATGTACAACTCAATTTGATTCAGGTTTAACTTTCTGGAGGGGGGTGGAACTGTGTATTTCTATTATATTTCCATTACAGGAACATGATATCAGTTATTTTACTCTTAGTGATGCTAAGATCCATCAGTGGGCTCAGGAGTTGTCATCTTAACCATCTATCATGGAGTTCACTGTCAGCCTTTCACCTATTATGCGATCCATTAAAGATTCTTGACAAAATATTATTTCATTAGAGGTTGTCACAGGGCAGTTTTTTAGTTTTTACTCTTTTTTTTTCCATTTTTATTCCTTTTTACATGTTAGCTGTGTTTTTCCTATAAAGAGACCTTTCCTTCATTGCCAACAAATACATGGCACATGTTTGAGTGTTTGCTTTTATTTGTAAATGTTCAGAATAATAAGCCAAGATACCCTAGTAACCTTTATAGGTGGCTAAGAATTGTTGTGGTAGTAGTTGTTCTCTTTGAAGAGTACTAATAAAATTACATATATATATGATGTATTTCAATGCATTGTCATCATTATTCTTCTTACGTTCACACTGTTCCATTTTTGGCCAGTTGGAATCTCTTCCAAGTGGCTTCTGTCTCCATTTGTCATGAGCCATGAGGTTTTTGATAGCTTGCTCTTAGGAATAATGCCATGTTCCAGGATCATCTTATGCATTTCCTGTTCATACCTGGAATTGGCCATTTCTCTACAGGCTCTTGACTACTTTTAATGGGAGATGAAACTTATGGTTCACAGTCTGGAGGCACAGAGTTGATTATATATATATATATATATATATATATATATATATTCCATAATACTCCAAAAAATAAATGATAAAGGAGAAGATATTCCTAATTGAATTAAGTAACCATTTTAGAACCACATTTAAAGATGCTGTTGTAAGCAGTAGGGGGTCCACCAATGAGTCAGATGTGATCTACTCCCACAAAGAGTTTATTTGCTAAGGGGGAACATAGGTATAACTGTTTAAATCTGTGGACAACACAATTTCACCTTATGTAAATCCTTAATAAAAGAGTGCCTCCTGCTATCTTGGAAAGTTTTCATTTTGGTCAGTGTGCATCTTTGGGAGAAACACACATAGGAGAGTGAGAGGAAGGGACAAGACAGGTCAGTTGAATCAGCCATGGTCAGTGAGGGGTGCATATATCTAAGATGGAGTGTGGTACATGCCATCTAAGATGCAGAAACACAGTGAGAAAATGAAGCAGGATTGACTAATCTCAGTCATAGGGATCAGGGTTGGTTGAATGGGAATATGTCATTTGTGCTTGACCTTGAAGCATGTAGGCAGTATCATTGGAAAAGGGATGAGGAAGACAGTCTAAGTTAATAGAGCTCACCGAGAACAGCAGTTAAGATGGATCATCAAATAAAGTCAGCCTTATGAGGAATGTTTCGTCTAGACAAATGACTCCGATCCAGGCATGGTGGCTCATGCCTGTAGTCTCAGCACTTTGGGACCCAGAGGCGAGGGGATTGCCTGAGTCCAGGGGTTCAACACCAGCCTAGACTACTTAGGGAGACCTTGTCTCTACAATAAGTCAAAAAATTATCTGAGCATGGTTGTGTGTGCCTGTAGTTCCAGCTACTTGGAAGGCTGAGGCAGAGGATTGCCTGAGCCCAATAGGTTGAGGCTACGGTGGCCATGAGTATGCTACTGCACTCCAGCCTGGGCAACAGAGTAAGACTCCAACTCAAACAAAACAAAACAAAACAAAACTCCAGAAAGGAAGAGTAAAGAAAACCTATTTATCTATTTGAGTGTATTATGGTCAGGAAAAATGGTTTATAAAGAAGTGGAATTAGTGAGTACCTGTAGTCCCAACTATTTGGGAGGTTGAGACAAGAGGCTTGCGTGGGATCCGGAGTTTCAGGCTGCATGAACTGTGATTGCACCACTGTACCCCAGTCTAGGTAACAGAGTGATACTCTGCTTCTATATTTAAAAAAAAAAATCTGGGTGTAGTGACTCATGCTTGTAATCCCAGCACTTTGGAAGGC